ACAGACAACAAAGATGAACCCTTTTGCACATACAGTACTGTGTTGTCAGTGAAGGCAAACATGGGTATATGAGTGGAGAGATGGGTGGTCAGGCTGAACTATTAGGTATGTCTATGAAATGGGGAGTGTATCCAAGAATATGTATAGGGTTGGCAGACAATGGTCCTATAAGTTTATGTGAATTATCAGAATTCCCAGGGGTATAGTAGAGCCAACAAGGGGCAAGGTTGTGGTCACTGCTTGGTCACAGCCAGCTACCCAGAGGGACCGAGTAGTTGAACCTATAGACTTGGAACCATAGTCGCAGGGGACATCAAGCTCAATTGGCATTACATGCTATATAAATCACTGTTCCACCTCCTACTTTGGCGAGTACCGACTGGGATCTTAAAAGCTAACAAGCTGCCATCTAGATGCAACAATGGGTCTCTCCTTGTCCAGAGCAAAAAAGAATGAAGAAAACCAAAAATTCATGGAAACAATTAGTCCTAGTGACTGGTACACCATCCAATCTGTAGTTTAGCTTAACTAATAAAAAATATCTGCTTTGAGCATTATGGTCTTTTAAGAACTATTTATACGGGATTAAAGTGACCACAGCAACTCAAAAGATTAGACAGGAACCTTAGGGGGCAGTGAGTTTATGTTAATGAGGGAGGAACAACTCAGAAAAGATGGGTAAGAAAAGTTGCACAACTCAAAGAACATAATGAAAGTCACTGAATTGTACATGTAGAAATGGATGAACTGATGTATGTTTTGCTGTGTACATTCTCAACAATAACAAAAGAAAAGAAAATTCTAAGACATGTCCATGGAGTAGAAGCTGAACATAGGCAATGGGACACACTGAAACTTCAGGGATGCACTGACTAAAGTTCTTAAATACCTCAGTGTCAGACATATGGGGATAGAGATGTTAAGACGTCAAGTTCCAGACCAACACATCTGAAAGACTACAGGAAGCAAACGATTGGAATGGTCAAATTTGTACCTATTGTGAATGGTTGTTGCATTTGATTCCAGGACCCTGACAGAATGCCAAACCCATGTTTGTCTTAAACACAGTTGGACTACAGCATCTGAGATAAGAATCCATCCACATATCTAGAAAGGAAGGCAAGTAGACATATGAAGAAACAAGAGAAACATGCTCTATAATGTAGCACAGCAGAAAGAAATGAGTGTCTTGTCAAGACTCTTAAAATGTATTTGGTCCTATAAGTGTATTTGTATATTTTGTAAGAATTCCCAGGTGTATAGTAGAGCTGACAAGGGACAAGGTTGCAGTCACTTCTTGGTCACAGACAGCTACCCAGAGGGAGTGAATAGTTCAACCTGTGGGTTCGGGACCGTGGTCACAGGGGACATCAAGCTCAATTAGCATAATATACTACACAAAATATTATTCCACCTCCTACTTTAGTGAGTAGCAACTGGGATCTTAAAAGCTTGCAAGCAGCCATCTAGATGCAATAATGGGTCTCTCTTCATCCAGAGCAAAGAAAAATGAAGAAAACCAAAGATTCATGGAAACAATTAGTCCTAGTGACTGGTATACCATGTGATCTGCAGCCTATACGACTATGAGACTAGAAGAACTAGATGGTGCTCAGCTACGACTATCAACCACTCAGAAGGGGATCTATGTAGGAGATCCTTGATAGAGAGGGAGAACAATGTGGAACTCAAAATCATTTGAGAAAAAAAAAAAAGGGGGACCAGGTTTGCTGATCTGATAGAGCCTGATGGAACAACTGAGACTATGGCCCCTAGCTGCCCTTCAGGTCTGGAATTGAACCCACAGCTGTGGCTTCCAGTTAAATAAAAGACAGGCATAGGAGTTGAACATTTACCTCAAATAGATACACTCCTTGGAGAGAACATTCATGGGACAAAGAAGGGCTGTTCATGCATAGAGAGACAGCTCAGGGGCCAGGAGTACATGGAGGGATGGACACAGGGAAGAGATAACTATTGGGAGGAAGTGGGAGGGGAGCTGTTGCATTAGGATAAATTGTAGTCAATGTCATGAGACAAAGTATATGTGAACTGCCATATGGAAAGTGAATTTACTCTGTAAACTTTCACCCAAATCACAATAAAAAAAAAAATGTCTCCCAGAAAAGAAAAAAGTCATTTGGTAACTTACCCTTTTCTTTGTGTGTTCCTGCTATAAGCTGAAGGTGCTGAATGCAGGCAGTAGCAAGGTCTACCACTCTATCAACCATAAAACTTCCCTCTGTGTCAATAAAAACTGCTTCACCTGCCACTCCTCCAAAGCATTCTGGTATCTGCACATCTACTGCCAACTGCATACTGTCAAGAGAAAGAAGTCAGATGACCAAATAATCATCATCACCTAAGGCAGTATTACTCAAATGCGAGATCTATTAGACATCACTGGATATGTTATAAATACAACTATACTTCTGGGTATTGAAAAATAAAAATAAGAAAGGAATCTTGTTTATAGATAACTTCTAAAGAATTGGAATAGCTATACAAAATTATCATACCCTTTAATAAAGCTTAGAGGAAAAATAATTATAATTTTATATATATATTTAGAACGATTAAAGAAGTCCACCTCCAAGAAAATTATCTAGTGTTGAATAGAAGGTGGCACAAATGGTTAAGTGTTCAACTACTAACCAACAGGCTGGCAGTTTGAGCCCAGCCAGAGGCACCAGAAAGGAAGGCCTGCTTCTGAAAGATCACAGCCATGAAAACGCTGTGGAGCACAGTTCTACTGCACAACACATGGTGTCATCGTGAGTCAGAATTAACCAATTAGAATGATTTTTTTAAAAAATAAAGAGTGGTGTATTTTATTAGTCCAAAGGACTGGTAGACCACAGGATCTTCAGCCTATATGACCATGAGACTGGAAGAACTAGATGTACCCAGCTTCCACTGTAAACTACTCAGAGGTGGACTGGTGCAGGAGATCCTGTATAGAGTGGGAGAATAATGTGGAACAAAACTCAAAATCATTAAAAAAGGAAAAAAAAAAGACCAGGTTTTCTGGCCTGATAGAGCCAGGTGAGACCTCTGAGACTGCGGTCCCTAGTTACCCTTCAGGTCTGGAAATGAACTCACTCCTGTGGCTTCCAGCTAAACAACGGAGAGGCATACAGGGTGAACACTTACATCATGTACATATACTCCTTGGAATGATCAATCATGGAAGAATAGAAGGACAGTGTTTGCACAGGGACATAGCTCAGGGGGCAGAAGTCCATGAGAGGGAAGGACACAGGAAAAAGGTAACCATGGGGAAGCAGTAAGAAGAGAGCTGTTACACTGTGGAGAATTGCAGTCAATGTCATGAAACAAAATGTGTATGAACTGCTGTATGGAACGTGAATTTGCTCTGTATGTATGTAACCTTTCACCCAAATTACAAAAATTAAAAAAAAAAAATTAAGAATAGAGTATTCTAAACAAAAATAAGAAAGTTGCTTTCAAGTAAGTCAGGAATAACTTATCTTGTGGAGAGTGAGAAGGTTTGACTGGGCAGGGGTCATACAGGGCTTTTGCTACTGACAATGTCTTTCATGCAGTGGGCTGCTTCATTAAACTGCCTGTGTCTTATGTACTTTCCAGTATACTTTAAAACTTTTTTAAAAAATAAAAAAAAAAGAATATAGCAACTAGTATTAGAAATTAAGATGGTCTGAAATATCTTGTTAACCTCTGAAGAATTCAGGAATGACAATCAAACAAAACTTTAAAAAAAAAAAAAAAGGGAGGGACCTTAGATGTGACACCAACAGCATTGGTAGCAAAAGACTAAATAAACTGGATTTTATAAAAATTAAAAACTTTTGTGAATCAAAGGACTTTATCAAGAAAGTATCACTACCAAAATAACAGCGATATATCAGTTGCTGTCTAGCTGATTCCAACTCATGGCGACTCTACGTATTTCAGAGAAGAACTGTACTCCACAGGATTTTCAATGACTAATCTTTTTGAAGAATATCTCCAGGCTTTTCTTCAGGGCACCTCTGAGTGAACTCAAACCTCCAACCTTTTGGTTAGCAGCTGTGCACATTAACTGTGTACAGCACCCAGGGCTCCCAGAGTTACCCTATGACCCAGCAATTCTACTCCTAGGTATATACTCCAAAGAATTCAAAGTTGGACTCAAATAGATACTTGTACACCAAGGTTTACTACAGCAATATTCACAGTCATCAAAAGGTGGAAACAATGCAGGTATCCATCAACAGATGAATGCATAAATAAGATGTGATATAAACATACAATAGAATATTATTCAGCCATAAATAAAACTGAAGTTCTGATACATGCTACAACATGAATAAACCTTAAAAACATATGCAAAGGGAAATGACAGACACAAATACTATATGATCCCACTTATATAAAATATCTAAAACAAGCAAATTACATAGAGACCAGACATTATTAGTGGTTACAAGGGGTGACTTGGAGGCGGAAATGAGGAGGTATTGCTTACAGGGAATTGAGTTTCTGTTAAGAGTGATGAAAAAATCTGGAAACAGCAGTGACGGATGCACAACATGGTGAACATTATTAAAGTCACTAAATTGTACCCATAAAAACAGACAAAATGATCAAGTGTTTGCTATGTATATGTTACCATAATAAATTAAGGGGGAAGAGTAGGCATTAATGCTCCTTGACAGAATGCTGACTAAAATTCATTAGTGATGCCTGATATAACATACCATTTCAAGGTCTTCAACTTTTCAATTAATACTTCCCCACATTTCACAACAACCCTCTTAAACCAACTTTTTCAACACCAAATTAAAATTATCTTTATATAGGGCTAAGAGTATTTTAACATTATGTGGTAGTTATGTGTGTGTGTCAACTTGGCTGGGCCTGGTTGAGTGGCTGGGCAGCTGGTGGTAGTTATTCCCCACGATGAGACTGGCAATCAACTCCATGGTGGGATCTACCACAAGCAGCCTTTGGGATGTGGTTTGCTTCCTGTATATAAGGAGAAGCTTTGAGAACGGTCTCTAGCCTATGGCACACTTAGACTCTGCATGTAGCTGTGTCATTGCTCATCAGCCTGCTATGCTCTGCCGACCTTGTGACTTACAATGGACTTAAGTTAATGGCCTATCATGTAATTTGGTTAACGTCAGAACTGTGCCTTTTTACTTGTCAACCTTGGGGCTTCTCAGTCTCAGCAGCCAGCAGCTGTCTGAGTGAAGAAACACCTCTAGCTCCAGTGGGTCAGGAGCAGGAGGCAGAGCTGGACCCTAAGGTTGAGGGACTTTCACCCAGCCCCTAGAGCCTGGCACTCTGAACTTCAACTTAAAGTCTCCAAATTGTAAGAATAAACTCCTGTTTGTTAAAGCCATCCCATTTGTGGTATGTTTCCTGTCAGAGTAGCACTAGGTAACCAGAACACGTTATTACATGGTAGGACTGCTTGCTATGAGGTCATTACAGCTGAAAAATGGAATGGCTTGCCCTGAGGGATATATGTGTATACTGTTCAAGAAAAGTAAAGAACAGAGGGAATATTTTATAGGCAGGTGTTTTCAGAGTCCTATCCTGTGAAGTAGAAATGTCTATTTTCCTCCTGCAATCCCTGCAAAGAGGCTATGGGTGAGGCCTGGATTGTGTAGGGAATCTAGTTTAGTTTCTTACAAAGACAGTTGTTCAACCCTCACGTTCTTGTATTCCTCATTCCCTAGGCAATGGAAAGAAAAGGAGACCCACTCTAAAGCAAAAAAAGAAGACTTCTTTACCCAGCTCTTGCTTCCAATCTCTTAAAGTGTTTGAACAAGAAAGTTTAAAGTCTGAAGAATACCTGAATAAGCAACTGAGACCTTGAAAACAGGTCAAGTGAGGGTTACAGTCCATGGAAAAAATAGATATCTGATCTAATTTGACCACCTTACTTCCCAAAACAACTCACATAGTCAGCTGTGTGTAAATCAACTCTTGCTTGGATTAGGGGCAAGTTGTTCCTATAAGACTAGGATTAAGGACTTTTTAACGGTTTTTAGACTTTGGGGAATGGAACTCTCTATTACATGGAAAACTACTCTCAAACATTGGCTTTCAAATGTATTGTTAGGAATGAAATATACAATAAAGCATATGACTGCCTGTTTACCTTAATGGCCACACTACAAGGCTACAAAGGAAACATCTTTTAAAATATTAAAATAATTGTATCTATTTATTAAGATGTAAAAGCAAATGATTTGTTTCATGTAGACACACACACACACACACACACACATAAAATAAAGAACATACATATGCCTCTTTTGGCCTCCTGACTGCAGATCCACAGCACAACTCTGCTGCTTACATAAAACATTATTGAGCCCACCCTTAAGAGAAGAACATTTTACCATAATTGTGTTTTTCCAACACCTGGTGCACCACAAATTTCTGTTGTTTTGGTTAAGGGTATTCCACCCCCAAGAATATTATCAAGTGCTGAACAGAAGGTAATTATGAAGCCCTGGGTATGCTCCTGTTCGAGAAGCTCCAGTGCTGTACACTGCTTGCCTGACTCAGATGGACCAGCACATCTTGGTATATTTGTGAGACGTTCTCTTCTTATAATTTGCAGTGTTTCCAAGGCTTGTTCTTTAGAAATCCCAACTTCTGAAAGTAAAATAAGTGGGGAAAAAAAGATTTTAGAGATTTAAAACCATCTACCAGAAATGGGCTATCTTCATTAATTATAATTTTTAGGTAACAAGATGTGGTAGTTCAGTTTGTGTGTCAACTTGGCTGGGCCTGGTTGAATGGCTGGGCAGCTGGATGTAGTATTCCCCGTGATGAGACTGGTAATCAACTCCATGGTGGAATCTACCGTGAGCAGCTGAGTAGCTGCCTTAGGGAATGTGTGATCTGCTTCCTGTATGTAAGGAGAAGCCTTAGGGGATAGTCTCTAGCTTATGGCACCTTGAACCCTGCATGTAGCCGTGTCGTTGTTCAGCAGCCTGCCATGCTTTGCCGACTTTGGGACTTACAATGGACTTGAGTTAATGGCCTGCCATGTGATTTGGTAATATCAGGACTGTGCCTTTTTACTTGTCAACCTTGGGCTTGGCAGCCTCAGCAGCCAGCAGCTGTCTGAGCGAAGAAAAGCCTCTAGCTTCAGTGGGCTGGAAGCAAGAGACAGAGCTGAAGCCCAAGCCTGAGGGGCTTTCACCCAGCCCCTAGAGCCTGGCACTTTGTACTTGGACTTAAAGTCTCCAAACTGTGAGAATAAACTCCTGTTTGTTAAGGCCATTCCATTTGTGGTATATTCTTGTCAGAGCGGCACTAGGTAACCAGAACATAAGAGTAATGCCAAGAATAGAGAAACCTAAAATGTCACATTCCATAAACTATTTAATTTTTTAAGTTAATAAAGGCATTTGTCTAAGTTTTCTTAAAAACCACTGCCACTGAGTCAATTCCAACTCATAGTGATCCTATTAAAAAACCAAACAAACTCACTGCTGTAGAGTTGAATCTGACTCATAGCAACCCCTCCTTGGGTTGCTGAGACGGTATCACTTTGGAAGTAGATCACCCAACCTTCCTTCTGAGGACTGATACTGGGTTTGAATCGCCAGCCTTCTAGTTAGCAGTCAAGTGCCTTAGGCACTACACCACCAGAGCTCCCACAGTGACCCTATGTTGTTGTTGTTGTTATGTGCCGTCGAGTCAGCCCTGACTCATAGCGACCCCTCCTTGGGTTTCCGAGGCAGTATCACTACGGAAGTAGGATTGCCCAACCTTCCTTCCGAGGAGTGGCTGGTGGGTTTGAACTGCCAGCCGTCTGGTTAGCAGGCAAGTGTCTTAGCCACTATGCTACCAGAGCTATAGGACAGAGTAAAACTGCCCTATAGGGTATCAAAACTGTAAATCTTTATGGAAGCATATTGCCTCATCTTTTTCCTGCAGAGTGGCTGGTGGGTTGGAACTGCTGACCTTCTGATTAGCAGCTGAATGTTTTAACCACTGTGTCACCAGAGCGCCTTATGCTTTCTTAGTCTTCACATAAAAGATCCCTTTACTTCACAAACAGAATTCAACTAAAGCATTCCTGAGTATCTACAAGAATATCGCAGAGTTAGCAATAAAAATGTACTAGCAGTACTTTTACTATCCCTTTTGGTTCTACATTATTATCTTGCTCTCATAAAATATACAGATTATTTTCCAAAAAAGAATGAAAATGACTTCTTTTAACCTGTCTAAAACAAGGTACCACTTTGAAGTATTTGTGCATGTATTATTCGTAATAAAAACTTTCCAAAGAAACACTGGTGTGAAATTCATGTATTACTCCAAACAATAGCCAATGTACAACTACCTTACACATACACATCCTTCCTCAACTAGGTAATTTCATTCCTATCTGACAATATGTGCCAGAAAGAGAAAATGGCAATTACAAAACAAGCTACTAATTAAAGAAATAATGGTAAGAAGGATATCACTTAGCAGTGTGATGGATCAGTACTTGTTTCTGTAAGGATATGGACTGTGAATTTGGTGCTAACAAATGACAGTAGTAGAGATAAACATTTTAAGAAACTGGGTCCTATCCAATTTAAGATGCTGAACACTGGAATAAGATCGTCTGGGTTTGTAAATCCTGACTGCACCACTTACTGTGTGACTTTGCGCAGGTTACTTAATTTCTCTGTGCCTTACATTTTGTATACTCAGGATGCACCGTGGTTTCCATCAACATACAACCTACAGTGTTGTATAACTTATTTGGCGTTTTTAAGTTTTTGGAGGGAGGGGTAATTACATAAAAGGTATGTCTTCTTTCTACTGCTTTCTCCAGATTAAAAGCAGTATCCCTTTCTCACTCTAGACCTATCAGGAATCTTACATTTCTCAAACTGAATTCCCACCACCTGGTCTTAGAACAGCGAAACTTAAGACAGCTTGTCTGGGTACCAATCCTGGCTCCAATACGTCCTAGTCTAGTTATCACGAACAAGTTACTCAATCACCCCAAACTTCAATTTCCTCATCTATATACCAAAACCAAATTCACTGCCATGGAGTCGATCTGACTTATAGCGACCTCTCCTTGGGTTTCCGAGGCAGTATCACTACGGAGGTAGATTGCCCAACCTTCCTTCCAAAGTGGCTGGTGGGTTTGAACTGCCAGCCTTCTCGTTAGCAATCAAATGTCTTAGGCACTACGCTACCAGAGCTCCCCCTCATCTATATGTTGTTGTTACTATGTGCCGTTGTCGAGTCGGACCTGACTCATAGCGACCCCTCCTTGGGTTTCCAACAGTATCACTACAGAAGTAGACTGCCCAACTTTCCTTCCGAGGAGTGGCTGGTCGATTTGAAGCTCCAGCCTTCTGGTTAGCAGTCAAGTGCCTTAGGCACTAAGCTACCAGAGCTCCTCCTCACCTATACAGTGGGTATAAAAATCCACTAAAGAGGAGCCTTATATGAAATAATGCTCACCACGCTCTGGCACAATCAGTAAATGTTTTCACGACCACAGTCCTCCTAACATCAGACATTTTAAAACGGTATCAAGGAGCGGTTTCCCGTAAACGCTGCCGAGGGCAGTGGCAGTAGAATCTGGTAGTAACGCGCCTAAGGCTGAAGGCGGGAGACAGAGAAGGCGGGGAGATGTAGGCTGCGCGGTCCGCGCCTAGTGCGTCTGGTGGGTCAGCTTGCTGTCGGGAGTCGTTACCTTTGCTGAGCTCGGAGGGTTTCACCTCCAGGAGCTCCTCAGCAGTCTGGAAACCTGCAGACACCAGTTTCACCCGCACACCTGGAGACAACGGAAAGCTTCCTAAATCCCGCTGCATTTCAAAGAAACACGCCTACACACACAGTCCTGAAGAGCAAAGCCACTGTACCCTGTCTCCTTACGTCCGTCGAGCCTGCACTGTATGACGTCAGACGCAATGAGGAAGGGGCGGGGTCGGCGACCTAGCCGCACCGCACGCGGCCTTGTTGGTTGTTGCTGTGCTGTTGACTACGTTGTTTTCACATTATGGCACCATTTCCGTTGTGATTCGTCCAAATCCCATTTAAATTCTCCCATCAAACTTGGGAGTATAAAGATGGATGGAGGCTGCAATGGGGAGCCGGACCCAGAGGTCGTATACATCACATTTCCTCACTTCCATCCTGGCCTGTTGGGTGGAAGCTTCTGAGTCATAAATGAATGAATTAAAGAAAAAGATTCCGCCAGCCCCGAGTGGGGGGTAATATGTGCACACTGGCCAGTTTTTCTCATGTGAAAAGTCCAGAAACGGTCCTATAAGGCTAAATTTGCATCCACATTATAGGGTTCCAGCCTCTAGGCTCTTTCCTCTTTCGTAACCCCTTGGCCTTTCCCGCCCTCGCAAAGGATTGTGGGCCAACGCCCTACAGGCACGAAGAGAGTTTGGCGCCCAACCCTCCCCCTCAACACGCACTCGCCTGCCCGCGAGAGGAGTTTGGAGCAGAGAAGCTGTTGAGACTGTTAGACCGTTAGTTCTCAAAAGCCTGCCCAGAAAGTAAGGTCTCCGTAGTGGGTTGGGCCTAGACTACACCGGTCCTGAAGGGAGGGGTCAAGATACACAGGAACCCCATACAGAATTGGAAAAGGGAGAGTTCAAGCCTTGAGGATCACCTGCTTCGAAATTAGAGAACTTTGAGGGGAGTTGGTAGGCAGTTTGGATGGTGACTTACGAAGTCTTCTTTCCTTGTGTAGGTGAGTATGATTTATTTAGGGTGGGGGTAACGCATTATCTTTTGCTGAAAATTTTGAGCTTTGACTTTTCCTCCCAGCTTAAAAGAACTCTCCAAATACTGCAGATCAGACCCCTTATGCAAAATCTAAAGAACGAAGCAACATGTTGAGCACTTAAGCAAAGCCCACACATTTCAAATGCTTACAAGCAGCCATAAGTAAAATAAGGACATGGGAGCTCAGAGTACAGCTTCTTTGAAGCCACAATTCAAACCTAAGTCGGAATCAAATTAACGGCAATAGGTTTTACTCCTTTTATTACCCTAAGCAACTCTGAAGGAGTTCTGGTGGCACAATGATTAAAGCATTTGCACTGTTACCCGAAAGTTGGTGGTTACAACGCTGCTCCGGGGAGAAAGATGTGGCAGTCAGCTTAGATTTACAGCCTTGCTTCCATACAAACAATAGACAGGCATATATAAAGGGTGAACATTTACATCAGGTAGATACACAGTTTAGAAGGATCAATCATGGGAGAACAGAAGGACAGTATTTACTCAGGGGGATAGCTCAGGGAGCAGGAATGCACAGAAAAGGACACAGGGAAGAGCTAACTGCAGGGAGGAAGCGGCAAGAGAGCCGTTACATTGTGGGGAATTGCAGTCAGTGTCATGAAATAAAATGTGTATGAACTGCTGTATGGAAAATGGATTTGCTCTGTAAACTTTCACCCAAATCACAATAATTTTTTTTTTTTTTAAAGATTTAAGCCTTGGGAACCCTATGGGGCAGTTCTACTCTGTCCTATAGGGTCACTGTGAGTCACAATCCATGGGATGGCAATTGTTTTGGTTTTGGTCTGCCACTCTTGTGGCTCATGCAGGTTGTGAGCCCTTGAGGGGTGTGGGATGCAGAAGTACCTCAGTTGCTAGGGCAGAGAATGTCTGGTAGGACTTGTCAAATGCAACTCCCTACTGCTTGACTTCCATTATGGTCCACATCTGCTCACTCAGTGGGTTTCACAGAAATGTCCTCAGGGAGATTTCAAGCTTATGCTTATAAAGCAACCAGATCCTTGGGTGAAGAGGTCACATTGAAGGGTAGCTCTTCAGTTTGGTCAAATTCAATGGAATCGATAATTAGAATTTTGTTTCATTGAGAGTGGAGAGCTAAGAAACTAGTCAGACTCCATCTGTAGCTACTCAAAAAAAAAAAAAAAAACTAACTACCATCAAGTCATTTCCAACTCATGGCAACCCCTTCTTGGGTTTGTGAGGTGGTATCTCTTCAGAAGTAGATTGCCCAACTCAAATGCGTTAGGCACTTTACCATCAGAGCTACTCAATTAGATGTTATTAATATCTTATTCTGACCTTGAGTTGCTATAATGATTATAGTTTTCATCATCATTCTTAAGATTTCTTTAATGCAGTTTGCTCTGTAATCATGTTTTCAAGCTAGTATCCAGGTTTATGAAGCCATGCACCAGGAACTAAACAAAGCTATGGGATAAATATGGAAGATATACCTTCCTATAGTGTCAGTTTTACTCAAATATTTATTAGTATGGGAAGAATTGAATAATTTAACTGTTGTTGTTGTTATGTGCCGTCGAGTCGGACCTGACTCATAGCAACACCTCTTTGGGTTGCCGAGGCAGTATCACTATGGAAATAGATTGCCCCATCTTCCTTTGGAGGAGTGGCTGGTGGGGTTGAACCACCAGCCTTCTGGTTAGCAGTCAAGTGCCTTAGGCACTATGCTACCAGAACCCTAATTTAACTGGTAGGTCATTTAAAATGTTTTGTATTAAGCAATTATGATATAATATATATTATATATATTAAGCAATTATAATAAAATTAAAATATAAAAATCAATTTTAAGATACATGTAAGACTTCAAAGGCAGCTCAGTCTACTTCAGTAAAACCCCCAGGGAAGGATCTTAATTTTCCTTTGCAATTTGGGGTGACCTGATGAAAACTTTGACACTGTTACTGGTAAACTAGCATGGGCTTTGGATTTGTATTGCATCTCTGGAATCTACCAGCTGTATGACCTTTGGCAGTTTATTCAGTTTCCTCAACCTATATGAAGAAAATCATATTTCTTTGGATTGTAAAAAAGATTAAATTAGTAAATGTAAGGTACATAGAGCACAGAAAAGCCAGGCGACAAATCTTAGTCTTTTTTTCCATTTAGAAATATTCTAATTGTGTACTCAATTGCATGACTTGTTATGGAACACCTAGCTCAGCAGAGTGCTAATAATGTGAGACATTTTTTTAAAATGCCTGCAATTGTAAAAGTGCCAAAATAGAATGTTCAGTTTATTTGACGTCTCACAATAATCCTGTGAATAGTTATTGTGCTCCCCAATTAAGATTAGCACATTAAAGATTGTATCATTAAAGCAAGATTAAATATTTATTAAATGGTAGTTATATGCCAAATGATGGGGCAACAAGACAGTCTCTGCCCTTGTCTGTCAAACTTATAATTCATCAAGATCATTATCAACTATTGGTGGCTTGCATTGTGTTCTGATTTTCATTGCTATCTAGATATAATAGTATTCAGGATAGGAAGCAACTATTGTTGTTAATGCCTAAGTATTCAAATAATAAGATATTTTCATGCCCATTTTTTGATTGAGTTGTTTTGTCTTTTTGTTGTTGAGTTGTAGGAGTTTTTTGTTTGTTTGTTTGTTTGTTTGTTTAATATATTTTGGATGTTAAAGCCTTATCAGATGTATGAGTTCCAAATATTTTCTCCCGTTCTCTCTGTTTTTTCACTTTCTGGGTAATATCGTTTGATGCACAAGTTTTTTATTTTGATGAAGCCAATTTAACTATTTTTTTCTTTTATTGATGTCACAATTGGGCTACTTTTAATTTAAGAAAATATAAAAAGTCCTTTTTTTTTTTTTTGTCTCTGGTTAGATTTAAGGAGTTCTGGTGGTATAGTAAGGAGCTCTGGTGGTGTAGTGGATAATGTATTTGACTGCTAACCAGAAGATTAGTGGTTCAAACCCACCATCCTCTCTGAGGAAGGAAGATGGGGTGATCTGCTTGAGTAAAGATTTACAGCCTCAGACACCTAATGGGGGTTGCTATGAGTCAGCATCGATTCAATGGCAGTGAGTTTGGTGTTTTGGTGGTGTAGTGGTTAAAGACATTTGGCTACTAACCAAAAGCTCAGGGGTTCAAACCCACCAGCCGCTCTGTAGAAGAAAGATGAGGTAGTCTGCTTCTATAAAGATTTACAGCTTTGACTATGGGGAGGAAGTGGGAGGGGAGCTGTTGCATTGTGGTAAACTGTGGTCAATGACATGAGACAAAGTATATGTGAACTGCTGTATGGAAAGTGAATT